TTTTTTTTTTTTTTTTTAATGGTAGGATAGATAATAAGATAATAAGTAAGATAAGAGAAACAAGTTCCTGAATGTTGGAATGAATATTTTTTATTTGGAAGATTTTGACAGAGATAAAATTGTTTTCATAAATCATAGAATCACACAATGGTTTGGGATGAAAGAGACCTTAAAGATCATTAAGTTCCATCTGACCTTCTATGGGAAGGGACACCTTTCATTAGACCAGGTTGTTCAAAGTCCCATCCAAACTGGCCTTGAACAGGGATTGAGTATTATGACTTGCTCTGGCCTGAAGAAAGTAGTCCAGGTTAATCTCATAGACTGTGCTGCACAGACAATTACAAGAAATGAGTGTGATGACCTTGTTCACACCAACAACTCATAAATCTTGAATGCACAAGAATCTTTATTCTGATCATATTTCTGAAAGAACCCAGTCTCTGGCCTCTTGGCAACCTACCTCCTTTGTCAGACTAAAACAGAGATATTTTTGCAACTGTCCTCAAGCCTTTGGCACCAGCAACTGCTATGGCATTCAGATTGAAGTGGTGCCCACCGTTGCTACATGGCTGTTCAAGGCACAAGTCCAGCAGAAGTTTAGCCAAGTGATGAGACTTAACACAGAGGAAGACCAAACTTTGCTCCAAGACCTGAGCAATATCACTGAACTGGCAGTTGCTAGAGGGGGTAGGAAGGCACAGAAACAAGAACAGTTCCTTGAGGAGAAACTCTCTGCCTTTGGATGTGCAAGCTCTCTCCGTGCTCCTTCTGTTCTTACAGATGTCAATAACTAAAATTAACATGCATGAGGGGAATCAGCCTGGCTGAGACAAAGCTGCAAAGTACCCTCCTGAATGAGATCCTTGGTGCTTCAGACGTTTGGGGTAGTGGTGTGTGGGGAGAAGGCAAGAAGAGATGAGACTGAACTGTAACTCTTTGACCAGGGTACAACCCCTCTTTAAAATGTAAGATAATGGTCAGATTACTTAAAAAATTAGTTTTAAGCGAGCTGGATGCAGTTTTGAAGCAAGTACTGAAGTACTTTTACAGCCAGCATGAACTTACACCAGCTGACACTGACAAGAAGGGGCTGGAGAGACCAGTTCTTAACTTGATGCCGCTCTCATTAGTCTCTTCTGTTGCTCCTCCTCTGCTGGAGACATTTTCCAGTTTTTGAAGATTTCTACAGCTTATGTTTCTAGTGAGGTTCAGTATATAGCCTTAAGTCATATAATCAATCAGTCTTGTAAGACCCACATTAATTCTCATGCCATGTGCCTCATGCTAAACTCTGGCAGAAGGACTTGTTAGTTGTATTTCAGGTCAGTAGGTTATAGCTTTGTGAATGTCATTACAATAGGAAACCTCATTTCACCAGAAAGCAACATTTCCTCTGTGAAACATACCCTGTGACACGCTATACTCTGTATTCATCACGCAATGATATTTCAGTGGGATGCCTGCAGTGTTGGGGAGCTGATAATCTTCTATCAGAGCTACCAGTAGCTTTTTTTTTTTTTTTTTGAAGATTAATGAAAATGACATTTCCTTCACAGTGTTACAATGTGTGGATTTAACGACGACCACAAAATTCTGCGGAAACCTTCATTCCAATGTTTCAGTTGCTTATCTGCAGAGAGAAATAGGTTGCTTGCTGTTCCCTTAATCAGAATGTATGTTGAAGATATCATTTATCTGACTTCTGCTTATCTGTTCTTACTGCCTTCAGTTCAAGTTTCACTGTTGGGCTCCAAAGAGTGACCACGAGGGGTTCTTTCTCTCCAGGTGCAGCCCTGCTTCTGAGGCTGCTCACACCAACCCACATTTCCAGCACATTGCCTTTAGGCCTGTGGCACTTCTAAAACTTTTAAAGTTTAAATATGCATTTTAACTCATAACAGTGTGATAATGTCACTTTTTAGAGACACCTTTTCAAATTACATCTTAACAACTCAGAGAAACAGATGAAGAGCTATTGCTAATCCCTTCTGACTTGCATGATTATGAGGCTAAAACGCAATGTCTCAGAAATGAGAACAGAACTAGAAGGAACTTGCACCATCTCTGATGCAAGAGCTGCAGTGTGCCAATCTACCTTGACTTTGAGAAAAAGTTCTTTCCTTGCAACCCTTATACTACTTCTAATGCACTGGAACTAGTTCTCCATGTAACTCTGAAATCAGGATCAAACAGAAAATGTCAGTAATGCCAGCAAGCATCATATCAATTTGATATATGGCTGTTATATTTATCTTGATTATAACAAAGTATCTGGAGTCTTAGATGCATTTGGATAGCTAGAGAATAACCAGCTTTTCAAAGTGTGAACAGATCTTGATTACTGTAAGGATGAGTGCTTAGAACTATCGCCAAGAAACAACACAAAAATCTGAGGTGCGTCGCAGATAATAATTTCCCACTATGAAAAAGCCCAGTTTATAAAACCGTATAAGCATCTTCTCTTTTCCATAAAAACAGAGGACTGCTAAAAAACTTTTGTCCTCTCCCAAATTTGGCAGTATGTGCTACCAAAAAAAAAAAAAACAAAAACAAAAAACCAAACCAAAAAACCCCCCCACCAAAACAAAACAAAAAAGCTGAAATACCAGTCTTACAAAGAGATTGAGGAACTACTTTCTGAAGTTAAAACATTAAATGAAAAAATCACAAAAACTCAGTTGGGAAAAGACGCCCTCTTGTGTTGTGAGATTCACTGGTGAAATGGATGACATACTAGAGTCAGTTTTAAATTACAGTTCAGGTGTCAGTAGCAATATAACTGGAATAGTACAGAGCCCAGCACTGTTCAGTTTTCCCTGCTTCTTTTCTGTGACTGTAGTGCAGACATCCTCTGGACATTTACATATATGCAAATGTGCTTCAGGATAATACCCTACCTGAATTCTTCATGCCCCCATATGATCGTGTACTACTTACAAATCCTACCAGAAGCTGCATTTAGAATTATAAGGATGATATGTAATCTCTCTTTGAAAGAGTAATATATTAAAATATGTAGCATACTTATTAAACTTGCTATTAACTTGTATCTAGCTTCTGCTCAGGCCAGGCAGGCTGATTTACACTTACCTAGGGTGTCCTTTCCCAATGTTTTCCAGCAACCCATTTCATAACACCAGGTAACAACACTTAAGATGTGGAATGGCCCTGAACACCAGGACAGTACTGCCCACACTACTTGGTCTGGCAGGATCTGAGCAGAATCTCCATGAAGTCTGGGTATCCATGGAGTTTAATCCCTTACTCAGATAAACTGTCCACAGAGAAGAAGGAGTGTGTGCAAAACTTAGCTCTTGGTAACAAACAAAATTTGAAGCTTTGATTGAGCAATATATGGTTGTTATCTGGCTCTGTGAAGGACAGATTTGTGTTGCAAATAAACAAATTGATGAATGAGTAGCAGAATTCAAACAAGATCTGTGATCTTCACTGTAAGAGTATGCAGATGCTCAGAATAGAGGAGAACTAACAGCAGCACAAACCCACCACAACCATGTAATTTCTCTAAAGACTTTTTCTTCCCACATATTATTGACTTGTGCTTGTTTTTAATTGTATGGCTAGCAATGTCTTGAGGTCTGAGCAGCTTCTCTGCCCAACTTTCTCTTTCATTTTCCTCTAGGCTGAAGAATGTCTGGATAAAACTACTGGTTACAGCTACTAGCTACTGTACTGTTACAGTGCTGGTGCCATCTGTGAGATTTCAGGATTAGAGCCAGGTGGAAAGTGCTGGTATCTTTTAGGGTAGGCCCTCTCATTCTAACTTTATCTTAGTCTTTCTGTATTCTTTCATTTCTAGAATATGTACAAGGAAGATTTCAGGAACATGACTGAAGAGACTGGGAACAGCAGTGACTCCTCCTCAGCCTTCATTCACACCAGCACCATGAGTACCATACTGATTACCATCTACTCAGTTGCCTTTGCTGGAGGTGGAATTGGTTCCATCACAATGGCATTTGTGCTGGTCAAGATGAACACTCTGTCTGTGACCACTACTGCCATCATTAACCTGGTCGTTGTCCACAGCCTTCTCCTCGTCACCATGCCCTTCCGCATCCACTATTACATCAACAAGAAGTGGGTATTCAACATGCCATTTTGCAAAATGGTGAGTGCAATGGTGCACATCCACATGTACCTGACCTTCCTGTTTTACGTGATCACGCTGGTGATCCGGTGGCTCATCTTCTTTCAGTGGAAGGACAAAGTAGAGTTTTACAGGAAGCTGCATGCAGTTGCGGCCAGCGCTGCCGTGTGGGTCTCTGTCATCGTCTTTGTGGTGCCCGTTTTTCACTTCCGGTATGGACGCTCAGGCTCATACAATGATACAACGTGCTTCAAGTTCCACAAAGAACTACAACGGGAGAGCGTGAAAGCCTTAAATTACATCCTAGTTGTAGCTGTCGCCTGTATTTCTTGTGTCCTCTTGGGCCTGCAGATTTTTATCCTCGTAAAAGTGGCAAGAAAACTTTCTACCTCTCTCTTGTCACACCAAGAGTTCTGGGCCCAGGTGAAAAACTTGATTTTCATCTGGGTCATCATAATTTGCTTCCTTCCCTATCACTGCTTTAGGGCCTACTATATACAGCACTTCAGGGATTTTGGCCAATTAGAAAGCTACAATGAGGTTTTTTTGAGCCTGACTGCCCTGAGCTGTCTGGACCTGCTGTCATTTGTGCTGAGTGGAAGCCGCTTTCTGAAGCAAAAGATGGTGATGCTCAGTAGTAGGTTGCATTGCTGTCAGCCTGCATAGTATCAGCCTCCTGCAGCGTGTGTGGACCTGGACCTGGGAAAGAATGGTGATGGACAGGCATGACAAACCTGCTACTCAGCAAGTGGGTCCTGGAAACAGTGCAACACACTTGCACAGGGCTCTGCACACCGACTCCCTGAAGTAATGTGCTAAACTGCCTCCAGTGTCTCAGGTGGCACTGGAAGCTGACCTCAGGGATTTCCTCATGGTGCTACACAGTGAGTTGTGAATGGATCAGGAGAAGAGCGAAGAAAGATCCTGGTCTCTTCTGTCTTTTTTTTTATTTTTACATTAAGGTTTGTGAAGTAAAAAGCACTAGGAGGAGTTTTGAGAATTTACAGTGTAGAAACACAAATAGAAAAGCAGGTTTTTACGGACTAAGGTACAGAGTTTTGAGACTTAAAGACTTATATAATTTTACCACACATTTCTTATTTATTCCCCACAGGCTCTCATAAAATATCAGGAAAACTATAGTTTCCCCTGTTCCTTCACTGTAAAGACAAACTTAACTTTCTAAGTGAATTGAACAATTAAACAAACTATTTAAAACCAAACATGCAATAAATAGTTATTTCTTAAAATACTTTTTTCAAAATCACCTTTTGGAGATGCTATCACTGTAGCAGAAAAGAGTTTTTGTTGTCTAACAAAAATTACTCATTGCTACTGAAATGAACATTGCAAGTTCAAACAAAAGCCTTATTATTATGTATTATTCTTTACAGAACTATTCAATTAAAAATATTTTACAGGGAGGATAACTTGATTTAGATCATTCAGACACAGCTGTCTTGTCCTAAAATGTCAAATATTTTAGATATCCAAGGTAGCAATGTTTTCTTAAAAATCTTATGTTGATTGTGTGCAGTTCTGAAGTTCATAACTAATTACTCACAGTATCTTTATCTTGAAATCAACTCTATAAATTTTGTACTCTCCTGGGAGAAGGAATGAAAATGTTATTGCTTGGATTGGAGGGATGGAAAAAGCTAATAGACCTAGTGTGGCAAAAAAGCTTATTATGTCTCAATGAGACATAGTTGCTGGTTTTGGAGATAGAATTGAATTCCACTAGAAAAGACGAAAAAATCAGCAAAATAATTCTGTGAAAGACATGCAGGCTTTTGTAGCTCAGCTGCTTTCCACCTATCCCCCCCCAAAAAATATAAATGACTTGTATAATCCAAGGCATCAGTTGCTAATATATCTTTCTCTTCTTTGCCATCTGCATAAGGTCATGTTTTTTTATCTAGAGTCAGTGGGATAATAACTTAATTGTTTGTCAAATTAGAGGTTATCAGCTGATCAGTTTCCACTCTCTCCTCATGATGCTGTTGAAGTCCACCTTTCCATACTTTTGAATCTTTCCATTCTTTTCTGCTTCACCTTCAACGTCTCTTGCACATGAGAAAGCAATCAAACAACAATTGGTTGATCTTGCTGTACCTGTGCTATATCACAGTTAAGTTATTGTTTTTGGTCCCACCAAGATGGTTATTTTATAGGATCCCGTCTCTTCTATAGTCTTTCTTCCCTGTTTTCCTTCTTGATTCAAGCTCCTGTGTATCTCTCGGGATATTTGATCATAAAAAGGTATTTTCAGGTCAGAGTATGAGTCATGCTACACAACACCAAAAGTTGGAAATCACTGAAGTTCATACCACATCTGAGATGTGGGGCTTCTCTCATGGCTCACACTTGGCAAACAGCCTGGATCACAACATCTGCTAAGAAAGAAATTGCAGTGTGTGTGGATCTGGGAAAAATCTGTTTGAGAAGGCATTTGCTCCCAAAGAGTGATGGCAAAGAGGAAGAGAACTACAAGCCAGATTCAATAGTAATTGGGAACCTACAAGAGACTTTCACAATATGGAAGGAGACAACTTCAATGTGTAGTTCCCTACTAGTTAATGGTGTGTCATTAAGAAAGCAATAAACTGCTCATATTCAGAACTATTTTAAAGCTACACAAACACATCCTTTACTCCTTGAGGCAGGAGAGGATGAAACATGGAACAACATTTTTGTTTCTTCCTATAGCAACGTGGTTGCTTAAAGAAAATGACTTGCATGTGTTCTGTAAGCGCTGCACAGCTTTGTAACACTATATTATAACCCTTCTATCACAATAAAGTTAACAAACAAAATGACTATGCGCTGAAAAAGTAAAGCAAGTCTTTCCTGTAGAAATACATGTAAATTAAAAGTATTTTGTATCTCAGTTTGAAAAGACCTTGAAAAAATAAAACATATGTCTACAAACAGTACCTCCTGACCATACAGCCCATGAAAAGTTGTTTAATTCTTGTAAAAAGGCACACATTGTCACTAATCTGCACCATAACATCACAAAAAATACTAGTGCCTTTTTTTTTTTTCCCAAATAAAAATTGATGTTCATTATAATCCTGACTCAGCATGATAGTGAGCAGATTAGCGGTCATAATTTCATGATTTAAGTGGTGATATTATCCAGCATCAAGTTATGCTTTTTATGGGACTGTCTATGCAACCTTTACCTCTGCCACTTGCCTTGCTTTGTGACAGCTAGTGTCTGGCAGAGAAAGCCTGCATCCACCCTGGGAGAATGTAATCTCTTAACTCTGGCAGGAGGTGATGCTTCCAGCAAGAGTGCTGACAGGACTTGAAAGGAGGACAAGTTGCTGCTCCGTCCAGCCTCTCCCTGCTTTACCTTTCACCGGTTTCTTGATCTCTCCCACCCTCCCGGGCACCAACCCTGAATGTTTACACTGGGATGTCTGAAGAGAGGTGGAGGTGCCGCCATGCAGTGCCACAGAGGAGAAGAGTCTGAATAACTCCTGAAAATGAAAGTACAGTCAAAGCCAGAGCAGCACCCAAAACACAGCTAAATGGCTCTTGTGGCCAGGGATAGCAGAGGCAGTGATGGGAAACTGCTGAGATGAAAGGAGAAAATTTATAGAGGAAGGGAAATTTCCACTATCATCACCTGCTTGGTCAGAGGTACCTCAGTCCTGAAAAATACCCTGATTTTTCTGACTGAGTCATGGAGAATTAGTTCTGGGCCAGAAAACAATCACATTAGAACACAAAATCTCTATTACAGAAAGACACAGAGGGGATAGAACCTGGAGAATGTGACAGGGGATGAGGATAGGTGAGCAAAATATTAGCATGTTTATGCCACACAGCAGCGAGGTTATATGGACTGAGCCTCTGGCCTTCAGTCTTACTTTGCTTATTGAACCCTTAGAGTTGCCAAAAAGTGTCAGTTTCACTGATAGGAGTAAACTTGCCCTCAGGCACCCCTTGCTGCCACCCTTGCACTGCTCTTTCTATAGGGTTAGTATTTGTCTAATGAATGTCTTTCAGCTGCACCAGTTCCCTCTCTAGCTCACCAGGGAGTGATGGAAAATCAACTCAAGGCCAGGTTAAATACAGCAAGACCTCTTTTTGCAGCAATGCTGATTTGAGGCATTTATCAGACTGTAGTCTGACTTGTCAAATTCCCCTTGGGATCCAGATCTTTTCTTACCATGCAGTTTTCCGCAGTTTTCCACAGTTCTGTGTCACCTGACATTTCCAGTTCCATGCACTACCAAGAACCAGGGTGCCTTAGACTAAAGGTACTGGCTGAGAAAGAAAAAAACTACGCAGCTAAAGGCCAAGAAAGAGGTTTCTGTTGTTTCAGGCACTTGATGCTTTCTCCAGGGATGCAGAGCTGGGCATGAGAACCCCTAAAGGCGGCAGAGGCAGCAGTTCCTGAACAGAAACCTCCTGAACAGTGTTGTAGGATTGGACATTTGTGACCCATAAAGTCACTCATTTCTGCTGTTCTCAAGAGAAATAGGACTTTGTGTGCATTTTCCTTGTAAGTAAGCCCTATGGTTAGGACTTGATTGGAAGCAAGGGCTGGTTTCAGAAGTCAAGGGGTCATTAATAAAACACCAGCTGGACTTCCCAGAGAGAAATTTCAGAAAATCAAACTAAACTTTCTGGTACTTAGTGAGGTAATTTTCTCCACTTGCAAACAGCTACTTACTAAACAAGATTTTTGCTGGATAGAGAAAAAACAACAAAGGTAATATATGGTGTCCACTCCCTGAAGGCCAGCTCTAAGTAATAATGTATAGTCCTCTTTTTTCTTGTGAGGCAGCAGACAGGCCAGTTGGCTGCTTTCACCCTCAGCCAGTAACTTCCCTCTCTCCCAGAAATGCTTCCAATTTGGGAGTGTCTGGCTGATTTTGCTTATTAGTCCTGTGTCCTAGTTCATCCCTGTGTGGGTGTAACCCAAACTGTGTATTCTACACCCTCTATGTCATTTCCCAGGAACTGTTAACAATAGACCATTTGGAGCAGCTGCCCAGAGCACACCTGAGCCCTCACACTATAAGCTGGGTGTTAATAGGCCTGTGAGATAGGAGGATGTTCCTGTCCTCACACCAATGACTCAGGTGTGATAACTCCCCTCTGGGGAGTCATTAGCCCGTCCACACCCAGCCTGAGGGGTCATATCTATAAATGGGCTACCAAGGATTCCAAAAATATATCTCACTCACAATCACCTACTGTGGAACTCCCCACCCTGATGGAGGTGCTGGGCATTCCCACCCAAACCAGAGTGTATGTAATCTTGAAATTTTGGGACTTCTGGTACCACTTCTTGGAACCAGAGGAGGACCAGAACCTCAACCGGACTGCGACCACCACTCTCAACCAGACTGTGACCATCACTCTCACCAGCAGGTTTTCCTTTCCTTTTACTTTGGACTCAGGGGTACTGTGAGAAATAAATGAAATGGTTTTATTACAAGCAGGGTTTCCATGATTGCCTCATGATGAGGAGTTTGTGATCAGGGGCGTTCTACAGTTGCCTATGTCTGCAGTTCTGTTGCAGCCATGACCTGTTAATAGTTGTGATCATGTTAGTGTTGCTTACTATTGCTGTGTAGAGGCGAACCGGGAAGCCTGTAAGACAATGAGACCAGCCAGGGCTCATTGCCAAGGGACCACGCGGC